AACGATTCTTCGATTATGAGTAACATAATAGGTAACATTAACATCAATATTTCTATTTGAAATATGTACAAAAACGAGTTAACAGAGTCTTGTGATCTAAGCTAATCAAAATAGGATGTGATAAGTTTATTTAATGGCTTTAATATTTTCGTGATCAATTTTCAAATTGGGTCAATTAATTTACCTGATTGAGTAATAGAAAAATTAGATATAAACACAAATATGATAACAGTTGTTTTTCAGATGTGAAAAAATACAAGTGTCCACATATCATCTGTAATGCAACCATACGGGGCAAAACCAGATATTTAGAACATGTCCAAAAACATAATGAATCATCCCGTTATCATTGCAAACAGCTCGGTAGTGGCGAAGAATTCCATAATCATTCATCAGAATTTTCTTCCCACAAAGAGGTGCATCAACCTAAATTTAAATGCGAAAAGTGTGGTTTTTCCTCCAAGTACAAGAATTCATTGGATAGACACAAGAAACAATCCTGCAAAGCTTCTCGTGAGTTTCGCAAATTCAGCAAAATTTTTATCATTTCTATGAAACTGATATAATACACATAGAAATATGCTACGAATATCTCTGATCACATCCTTTGACTCAATGAAGTGATCCTCAGATGCAAGTATATATAACAGTCAGTGGGGAAATACTAATGGATAATTACCGGGAACAAGCAGAAAAGAATTATATAATGATATACTGCTTTAATCCCTTCGGTTTATGCTTTTATTCAATTGGATGAAGTTGAAGATATATGCTACAAAGAATCCCAAATCCGAATCTGATTTCGTTGCAGCGAAGAATTCAGAATTACCCCTCATTCAACATTCTTCCATTAGTGGCAACATGAGAATGAGCCTTTTGTTTTAAAAATAGATATGGTAAAAAAGTGAATAACATCCGTAATTTAAGTTAGTCGAAATGTGATTTGATAGGTTTAATAAATAATACTGGTACAGTCATTCTTCAAATTATATTCATTAATTAGCATATAAAATGATATTTGTAAACACAAGCGTCGCACCAGCTTTTCAGTTGGGCAGAAGTATGAATGTCGACATTGTCATGCGAGTATGCTGACGAGAAAGGAATATTTAAAACATCTTCAAACACACGAGGAATATGTCATCATTTGTCCCAAATGTGGGAAGAAATTCTATTCCCAAAGGGGATTTCGACACCATAAAGATGTGCATCAACCTGAATTTAAATGCGAAAAGTGTAATTTTTCCTCCAATTACAGGAATTCATTGGCTAAACACAAGAAACATTCCTGCAAAGCTTCTCGTGAGTTTCGCAAATTCAGTAAAATTTTTATCATTTCTATGCAACTGAAATAGATACACATGGAAATATGCTACGAAATATCTCTGATCACATCCTTTGACTCAATGAAGTGATATCTAAGAAATATTCATTCTGTGCCCAACGGAAGATTCGTAAGGGCATAGCCTCGGCAAAACATGAAACGATCACGATGTTCATCAAGTCATTAAGTCAATCAGGTCATTCGGGCAATGAATGTTTTCAGGAAACTTTAACATCCACGACAACTTGGATTTAACACTAATTGCCTTAGATGCAAGTATATATAACAGTTAATAGGGTTAAGTATATATAACAGTTAATAACAGTTCAGGTATATATAACAGCTAATTAATGGATAATTACCAAGAACAAGCAGAAAAGAATTATATATTGATATACCGCTTTATTCCCTTCAGTTTATGCTTTTACTCAATTGGATGAAGTTGAAGATATAAGCTACAAAGGATCCCAAATCCGAATCTGATCTCGTTGCAGAGAAAAATTCAGAATTACCCCTCATCCTACATTCTTCCATTAGTGGCGACATGAGAATGAGCCTTTTGTTTTAAAAATAGATATGGTAAAAAAGTGAACATCCGTAATTTAAGTTAGTCGAAATGTGATTTGATAGGTTTAATAAATAATACTGGTACAGTCATTCTTCAAATTATATTCATTAATTAGCATATAAAATGATATTTGTAAACACAAGCGTCGCACCGGCTTTTCAGGTGGGCAGAAGTATGAATGTCGACTATGTAATGCGACTATGCTGACGAGAAAGGAATATTCAAAGCATCTTCAAATGCACGAGATGTCTGGCAACATTTGTCCCAAATGTGGGAAGAAATTCTGTTCCCGAAGGGGATTTCAACACCATAAAGATGTGCATCAACCTAAATCTCAATGTGAAATTTGTAACAATTCCTTTTCTTATACAACTACACTGCAGCAACACAAGCGACTACAACACGGAGTTACGGGTTGGTTTCGCAAAGTTTATCTTTAGCAAAAGAAGTTTTCAACATGTTTGGTCACATGAAAATGTGTTGCAAAACATTTATGACAATGAAGTGGCAGTTCAAAATTAATACTTAATCTAACATCGGTGGATGGCTGCTTGTCGATTATCGCAGTTGGTGTTTGGCAGTTACTGATGTGATAATGAACGGAGTGACAGAATTTAAGCATGAGAACTTCCTCAGTTTTAAGCAATCACTGAAAAGACAAAATAAATATTTCCGCAGAGCTTTTCAGTTTTGCAAATTCAGTGGAGTTTTAGCATTTTATTTCTTTACCTGATATGAAAGCACGTGAAAATATCTTACAAAATACCAGTGACTGCGGTCACTTCCTTTGGTACAATAAAGTGATATCTAACAGACGTTCATTCTAGGCGAAACGAAACAAAATCCACAGCTGGAACGTACTTTGGCAGAGACACGAAAAGATCACATTGCCGATCGAAGTTCAATAGGTCAACAAGACCACTCAAGTGATGACTATCTCCCTGAAAACTTTAACATCGGCAGCCCCGATATTAACATTCTCGATTACTGCGATTTTGCAGCATTAGGCCCAGATATAGACACATTACTCAACGAATGGGATCAAAACTGTTGAAGAAATGAATTCAAACGTCTTCGTACGCCTAACCAATTGATAGTAATCAGTAATTTCATGAAATACTAATTACAATCTATGTTTTCTAAATAACTGAAATAATTCAACAATTTGTTTCGGTCCTTTATTTTGTCTGTATTTTAGTTTAATTGCAATATTATTGTTGTCCTTATTATGGACAAAGCAGTAGACCGCATTGATAATTAATTTTGCTGATAATTAATTAGCATCTTTTAATCACTTTTTCATCTTTTTTTTCCTCTCTCACTCAACTTTTATCATCAAAACCCATCCCAATTGTATATTGTTCAATGGTAAAATTCCACCAACTTCTCCCTTGTTCGTTGATCTTTAGCTTGTTGGTTAATTATTAATTGCATTTCATTTTATGGGTTATGAACTATTCATTTGATTGTTCCTTTTATTATCACACAAAGATTGATTTGTATTCATTTTGTAAAATACAGATTACATGGTACACCGTTGTGTTTTACATTAATTGACAAAGATTATCAAACATAATTATATGAAATAATAAATTGGATATTCAATCATGAGAAACGTTAAAAACAGCACAGAGATGCATAATTTGTGATTTATTTTCTTGTTATCAATTTTTTTCTCAATTTCTTGTTATAAATTTCACTCAGTTCCTTCCTTTTTTTCCACTTCCAACTTAATTTGTAGCAAATAGTTATTTCGGCTAGAGACATCCTTTAATTGCTGTTGTAATAAAATCTAAAAAAATTTAATTGGAATGAATTTTATCATGAGTATGCGAAATTATACCTATTATCAGATTCTACAAAGAAAAGATTTTGCTTTATCAAATAAGCGTATATCATTTGTTGGAATTGATCGACATTAATTACCATAATCGCTGCAGAAACCCATCGGTCATATGTTAAAACTTTATCAATTGACATTTAAATTACTGACATTACTACTTCTAACATCAAAACTATTCCATTTATCGACCTTTGTTAGCGTAATTGTCCTTTGTGATCTCTGAATTTTAACGGGAATAATCTTTTGGAAGATTGGCGGATCGTCACAAAGGAAAAAATGTTTCATACAAAAAAATGAAGTCATCAATATCTGTTGTAATGAATTGTTACATTGTCCTCAAAAACTATTAGTTATGATTATCACTGATTCAGCGATTTGTGTTTCTGCGTTCAAAATAGCAAAGAAAGATTACTTTCTTAAAAATTACTTTACTGTTATTTTCGAATTAATAAAATGATTACATTTTTGAAATTCTCGTATAATTGTAATATCTGCTGCTGTTCAATTCTTGCTCACCTATCACTAATACATTTCGATCGTTACTCATTTATATATTTCAGTACGCAAACTCCAAAATATATTATTATCACAAATTGTGTCATTTGTGATAATATACACATAACCATACATAACCAATTCGACATTAATTGTTATTAGATTATTGTTATTAATTATTGCCATTAATTGTTATTAATTGTTATTCATTACTAATTCTTTTCGTTAGAAAGAGCGAAAAACGAAATTTATTGCAATAAGATATTTTGACTTATTTATTCATTTCTTTAATTTATCATTATGTCAGCTTTTCACAACTATATTGATACATCGGATTCCCATTTATTTCCTAATCTGTTTCATTAATAATGGGATGTATTCTGATTTTGTACTATTATTTTTATCATTGTTGTTATTATCACTATTACTGTTATTATTATTATTGTTACCATTATTGTCATTATTATTTTTTCTATTCTTACTCTTAACTATTGTTATTA